TCACGATAAACATAATTTTGTTAAACATAATTTTGACAAACATAATTCTCTGCACTCATACGCAATGCAGGAGGTATTCCAAATGAAATTTCCAATCTTACAACTCTGAAAATTATGTACTTTGGTTATAATCAACTCATTGGCTTCATACCTACAAGCATTGGAAGTTTGGTTTTGCTTCAGGAATTAGATCTTGGTTCCAATAATTTACAAGGTATAATTCTTATTCAAATTATAATTCACTATAGATTATTTCTATTTTCTTACTTCTTGTCTCTTGCCACTTGAAATTACGAATTTAGATGCTAATTGGTTTTGTCAAAATGCTATTAATTATATGTCCCAAAATGTATAAGTCTAGTACAAACTTTTTTTTTCACAAAACAAAAAATTGGATTATATTTTTATACATAATTTGTAATATTTTATAATGTCATTCAGAACTCAACCTGTTACAATGATTTCAAATATAAAAGGGGATAATTTCAGTTAGGTCTCTTGTAAGGAAACTTTCATTAAATTTCAAGGGACCTTTCTTTTTTCCCTCCAACTGCTGATATATTCCTAAGGCAAATAAATCAGTACAGTACAACTGAAACTGCAAACGACAAAGCAACAAAACAAGGAAAGCAGCAAAGCAAAAATAGAATCAGCAACAACATAAGAGAGATCAGCCAAATAATTTTAACTAGTAGATGAGGCGAAGGAAGTGATGGTGAAGACACCCATCCTATTAGAACTAGCAACAATATGCTTCATTTTTAATTTTAAAGGACTTTAATGAAATTAAAAATCAAGCATATTTACTAAAATCAAATTTTAATAAAGGAAGGGTATTTTAAAAATAATACAGTCTTGTTTTTGCCATTAACAAAAGTTAGTTTTGACACTTAGTGACTAGGAAATGACAGAAAATGACCTCAAAAATTACATAAAAGAACCTAAAAATTACAAACAAGGACAAAAATGACAAAAAAGGACCAAAAAATCTTTTTGGTCATTTTTTATAATTTTTAAAGTCCTTTTCTATAATATTATAGTCCAATAATTGTCAAAGTTACTTTTGTTAATGGTAGGGGCTATATTACATTGTTTTCAATAGTTGAGTTGAGTGGACAACTTGTACAATAAACAAGTTGGGAATATATAGTACAACTGAACTTAAAGTTTAAAGGGTAGTTTGCTCATTTATCCATTATTAAATATATATATATTCCTCAAAAATCTTATCTGAATTCAATCTATGCCTTCAATCAAACGTGTCCTCATCAAACATTTTGAAATGAAAAATTTATAAACTTTATATGATATAAACTTTGGCGGTGGTGAAATTTATAGCTATTTAAGAAATAAAAGAAAAAAATAAATTTTTTTGTGAGTAAGTCTGTTGCATATATCCAAAACACATATTTTCCTTGTTATTTATTTATTTTTAATATTTTCCTTTCCAACTTCGTGCCCTCCTATATGGGTATTAAAATTGTTAAAGTTAGCTCAGTTTGCTCTTTGATGAAAACAGCTTTGCAAAAGTTTACTTCCTTGTTTAAATTAACTTCCCTGAGAAAATATGGCATTGTTAGGGTTTTGACTAATTTCATCCTTATTTGGGACTTGTTGTAATTCTTCCAATATCTTACTTTCTTAATATATGGCATTTTTGGTAATTGTTCAAAGACTTGTACAAGCTGCTATTTTAGAGTCTTAACCTTCGTCTCATTTGTTTACCTGTAGGCTCAAAGTATTATGTGTGAAATTCTGGTGTTACTTTTAAATGATTATCTAAAAGTAACCATTAAATATTGTTCTTTTAAGTGATGATGGTAAGGACGTGTCTAAAGTGTAAATTTTGTTTTTTCTTACTTAATGCATAAGTGGAACCAGAAGCTTTGGATGTTATAATGTTTTTGTTTTTCCTGGGTAGAATAGATTGATTAATGTGGCAGTATTGTCTTTGATGTAAAATACAAATGAGGAAAAGAGAATTTCATTCAGGTGCCATGTCATCACACACACACACACACAGACACGGGCCCAGTGAGTGGAAATAAGGGACTACAGGTTAGATTTGGCAAAAATGATTCATCATATAAGGGCACTTGTAGGATTAATAAGCCATCTTTTGTTATGTCTTTATCACATAAATTGGAAAATATTCTCTCAATAGATATATCCATGACCAATTTAAATTCTATATCTTTAAGCCTTAAATTTTTTTTATAGGTGATATACCTGAAAGAATTGGGAAATTGGATATGCCTCAAGAGCTATATCTTAATCATAATAATTTACAAGGTATTTTTTTAATTAAATTATGATATTCTGCCTACTATAGTTTTTTTTTTCTCTAGTTGTTTTCTTACTATTACTATGAACAACAATGCATTTTCTTTGCCTACTTTTCCTTTTGTTTATAAATTTGTGTATGAGTGAAATTTTCTTTTCTAACAATTTAAACATAAAAATAAGTCTTTAGTTTTTGTTGGCACAAAAAAAGTTTTCTTTTCCAATAATTTGAGAAATGTTAGTTAGGACTTCTTGTGGAGTATTTTGTTCGTTTGGAATAGATGAAGCTGTTATTGTATATTGGTGACTTGGAGTATTGTGTAAAACTTTATTTCTTTATAATCATTTTTCATACAATTAATTCTTTAGTCCATATTGCAGTCTATATAAAACGTATTGAAAAGCATCAGCACATGTGAAAAAGCATGTTTTTCTTTTCATGTGGTTTATGATGCATCATGACAAACAGTTCTAATGACTCTAAAAATAAATTATTACAATATGACATCAGATATACTTAATATTTGTGATAATTAAGTATTTTTATACAAAAAGTATGTTTTTTAATCCCTCACTTTCCATGTAGGATGCCTATCACATGAATTGCATCCGCACGATTTATAATGCATCATCACTCTTAATGATGTGTTTTTTATGTTGTCATGTATGCAGGAGATATTCCTGAAACAATTTGCAATCTGACAAGTATAAAAATAATGGCCCTAGATGTTAATTAATATTTTATAGCTTTTTAAATAAATTTATCAGCGCCTTTGTTGGAACATTAGTTTTTCCTTTTTGTCCTTTTACATTTGGGTTTTTTAATCATATACCAAACAATAATTCTAAGGAAATGGGTGATCTTCTAAATTTAAAAATATGAACCCATTCACATAAGTGCCCATGATTTTCTCTGTCTTGCTTTCTACCTTTTGGAGTTTTGGTGCTCTTGAAAGCAATGTGGAAGTCATTATTTACATTTATATCTTCATTATCTTTGATCGTTATACTTTAGATCCCTCAACTACACATTTATATCTTCATTATCTTTGTAGTTCACATACACAAGAATTGTGTTGTGAAATTTCCAACACTTTGGTGTCCATCAAAGAGGGAAGTGTTACTATTTTTACCTCTGTTTTTTGGGCTTGAAAACATAAGTAAATATATAAAACTATTCTTGATTCCAAGAAGATTTACCCTTCCAACCCCATTCATGCTCTTTTTTTTTTTTGAGTCTCTTTATAGTTTTTTTAATTTTCTTTTTTATTTTGCACTTATTCTCATGAAGGTTTTTCTTTTAATTCTCTTCGTAGATAGATTAGAGCTATTGAACGAACAAATTTGTCTTTGTCCTTGTGAGCTCCCTTTTTGTTTTCCACATCAACACTTTTTTTTTACTACTAGGACTTCTCTTTCCCTCAATGGTTGTTTAGAATGCTAAGTTTTGGGGCAATATCGTGCGGATTTTTTTTTTTTTGGTTGAGAATGATTTTTTTTAATACTACTAGGACTTCTCTTTCCCTCCCTTTTTGTAACACGTTTTTTTTTTTGGGGTTTCCATCATTGCTTTGTTTAGAATGCTTGTTTGTAATTTTTTTTTTTAAAGCTTGTCTGAAGTGAATTTTTTTGTTGATTTGTAGAATCTTTTTCTTTGCTACAAACATCTTTATAATTTTAACTTGGACTCCTTAAAATGAGTCTAAGCCTATGCCCTACAAGTTAACTTGTATACCAAACTTACGTTTCTGATTCATTTTATGGTAGATCTGAATTTATAAAGGTAAATTTGTGGAAAGTTATGGTTTACATAATTATTATATAGACCCTCATTATAATTTCATATTGGAGATAATATTATATATTAATGTTGAAGTACTGTAAGTGTCCCATCATTATCATATATCATATTTGTTTAATTGAGATTAAAAACGTTTTTTTTTTTTGGCAACACATTAAAGCAAGTTTAAGTTCATTACTTAACCCCATAGTTTTTTGTTTGCCAAATGATGAATGATCCATCTTGAAAAACTCCTTTGATCTAAAATTGAATATGTGATTTGACCCAGAAAAAAATTAAATATGTGAATTTCAATGCCTATTTTCGTTGACAATGTAGGATTTCTATATTCCAAAATCCAATAATCAAAATCATAAATACAAGTGATATATATATTGACGATGAAATTAATTATTAGTTAGTATATATAAGATGTGTTACCTTCAATTGCCATTTGCACGGTATCAAAATTCTTAAGATATAATTTTATTTGAAATACCATTATAACAAATTTGTAACTACATGATTGGGGTTCAAGAGCATTATAACCTTTTATCTTCTTCAGCCATTTGTTAGTTAAAATATTAAATTCGTTATGATTAGCAAATGCCAATATTGGGGGCGAACTCATTAACGACATAGCCAAGGGTCCCAATTTGGCTTTATTACTTCTTGTACACTGTCATAATTCTAAAATTGAGAAAGAATAAGTTACCAATAGTTTCAAAAGTTATCTTGCATTTTACTTGATTCTCTTTTATTTCCAACTTCAAGATCTAGTTATATTTTTGGCGGATTACACTAAATTTGATGGATATTTTCTTGATGTAACATTGTAGGAAGCATTCCCGAACAGATTGGTAATCTTAAAAGTCCAAAATTTTTATTTTTAGACACCAATATGTTTTCTAGCCAAATACCATCAACTATCTTTAATATGTCTGGGTTGCAAGAGATTGATTTTAGTTGGAATAATTTGTGGGGAGGCATTCCCTCAAATATATGTCATGGCCTTGCAAATGTACAAGCTTTCGATCTTCAAGCCAACAAATTATTTGGAGCTATACCATCTGATTGGACACAATGCAAGGAACTCAAAGAGTTACAATTAGGAGACAACTTCACAGGTATGTACTGCCCACTATGCCAAATCTCTAAATTCAATCTTACCAAATATACTTTGATTGCACTTTTATGCATTGGACATTGGTTTTGATCAAGACCATTAAACAAATTGGACTTCCTTAATTTTCATCTAAACAAAGATTCTCCTCAACAAATCAATTTATTTTTATATAAAAAGTCAAGAGTCCATATATAAAACATACTTTGGAAAGAAGCATAAGTAAATAAAACTTAGGCATTATTTTATAATTTTTAAATTCTTCTTTTTTTTTCTTTTTCCAAAAGGCTTTTAACAGGCTTCGCAACCAACTGCCCCGTTTCCACGTTCCACCCTTCTTTGTATATATATAAAAGAGAAAGTAAGACCCAATTGGATCAACTTCAACATATCAACGTTGTCCATCAACATTTGGTATTTATATTCATTAATGTTTCTAAAATTGCAATCAAACCCACATCTACAAAAACAAAGCTTAAGCATTGAGATCCCAAAATTGTAGTTTGGTGGTTGACTATGGTTCTCGCAATGGGAGGGAACATGTTACCGATTTGGTCATTGATTGGAGTTTGAAAATATATAATCTTGTCTTCCATTTGGTGTTCAATAGAACTAAGGTCTTTGCCAATTTTTTTTTGGTGGAGGAAGTGATGGAAATTGGAAGAACTCATTATGATGCCATAAATTGTCTTGGAATGAGCTTCTTGCTATGATATCCCTTACTTCCACCTCTTGCATTCAACACCTTATTACTTCTCTTCTTCTAGAAGTCCCATGCCCTGTCACCCCAAAAACAACATTTTGGTTTGGCAATCTACGAGGTCTTATTGTTACACAATATAAATATACATAGAAAAACAACAACAACAACAATAACAACAACACAATTTTATATGGCTATCTAATTCAGTTAGACTCAAACATTGTCAAGTCCAATTAGAGGTACCACTCCCAATGTTGCGAACCAATATATGAATCTAAGTTTATACTCATATTTTGTGTCTGATTGTGCTTTAAATAAGATTGTTTTCAATAAAGGATTACTTGTGCATAGTTTAATAATAATAATAATAATAAACTATAGGGTTTTAATTTTTTGATACCATATGTTAAGTCATAAGAGAATACCGAGCTGCAATAAATATATAAAATCTCAACACAAAATAGAGAACAAGGTTTGGATAAACAAGACAGAAATAACGAGGTCAGTTTTGGGTTTTTAGCTTGTGTTTCCTATAAAAAAACAAAGAAATAACCAGGCCACATTAATTCCTGCATCACCGTTTAATTTGGACCCCGTTATTAATTATTAGTGCACTTTGCCAGTTTTTTTAGTAATCCTGTATTAGCTTGATATGGAAAGTTCTTCATTACACCTTCAACATTCCCACTATAATAAAAAAAAATCAATATCAGTAATCTTATCGAAACTCGACTTTAGTAAAACAATTAAACAATTAGTAAGAAATTTTAGGAGAAATAAAAAAACTGAGCCATTCATTCTTTCAAAATTAGTACAACAAGTCACATTAAAATTTTTTAATTTACTGGTTTGATGCATAAAACTAAAATTATATTAATATATTACGATCAATTCAATTACAATTATATTCTATTATAGCTAAATTAAACAATTTTGGAAGCCCCCCAACAAATACTAATGAATTTCACATAAGTATTATATTAATTCTATCACTGATTTCGTTTTGGAAAATTAAAAAAAAATTAGACTACATATATGTCCACTCTTAAGCGTAATTGCAAGACAACGTGAAATCATTAGTTGAAATGTGTGTGTGTGTGAGTAATATGGAAGGTGTTGTAAATTGATTAAGATGGAAGGTTCCTGAGTCATATAATATCATAAGCTCAATGAGGATTATTTCTCTGAAAATTATTTTTTTGGTTCTAGAGTCACGCCTTTTATTTAAAAAGGGTAGAATTGGAACCTTATGGTTTTTAACAAGTTAACAATGTAACAATATTTTCTTAAAATATGTGAACATATTGGAAATACCCTTTGCTTGACTAATATGTGATTTATTAATGGTATTAGACAATTTGTGCTATAGATAAAGTATTCCTAATTGTGTCTATAAGTGTCAATCTTCTTTCAGGCCATTTACCAAAAAGCATTGGAAACTTGCCATAAAAATTTCTCGGGATTTAAATGAAAATTTTCTAATTTAAAACCTAAGTGAGTTCAGGTATTGTTTTTCACTTAACCCAAAACTCATTTATTTTTTCAACTTTCATTTTTATCTTATTTTCGATTTGGCTTTATTACTCCTATATAATTCAAAAAAATAATATTTTGAATTTCAAGTATAATATTTTTGAATAATAGTTTCAAAATAATACATATTTAAATAGTTAAGTATACATTATTTTCATTTAGGATTGAAACTATTTTTATCATTTTTTAAATTAATTTTAAAATTTAAAATATTTAAAAAGTAGGATTTTTATTTAAAATTATTCTAAAAGTTAAATAAGAATTCATTATGTCGATTATGATTTGGTAAAAGTTATGATATATTATTAGGAAAAAATATGTTAAACCTTCTTGAACTTTGAGACAATTGCAGATGAACCCCCTCACCTTTAAACTTTTAAAACTAACCCCCTACTGTTAATTAATTGATTGGAAAATTCCAGCTTGCATTGGAGGTTTATTTGCTCTTCAGCACCTGATTTTTCATAGTAATAGTGTTGAGAGGGCATTATTCCTCCAAGTGTGTCAAATTTGTCAAAGTTAGAGACACTAGATTGGAACTTAAATTTTATCCATGGATCTATGCAACTTGAGATTGGAAGGCTTCAACATTTAAAGATTTTATATATAAGAGGGAACAATCTTTTAGAAAAGATACTTCCAACTATTTTTGACTCATCTTCACTCGAGCGGATGTCTTTGTCATACAACACCTTAATAGGTTTTTTTTTTTTTATAATGTCAGGTAATTTTATATTTTCTCTAAATTATTTCAAACAATTTTGTAGGTGTTCGTGTGTCTTAAATGTTTGTGTTTTTTCATTTTGCCTATTGACATCATTAGAGTTTTAATTGAGATGCATGGAAAGAAATAAGAAGGCATGGAACTAGCTTTTGATTGAAGGGGATCTAATATTTTAGATGATGATGCGACACATACACACTCACGCTTGCACTGGTTTGAAGAAAAGAGGAAAAGGCATAACAGAAACAGAGTGAGAGATGAAGAACAGGGAGGGAGAGAAAAGACAGAATACAAAGAGATGAAGAAATTAGAAAGATGAAGGCAGAGCAGTGGAGGGGAAGGAGGCAGACGAAGAGGGGGGAGAGAGAGAGCTTTCATATTCTAGTATTCATTCATCATCAAAAGGTCTAAGAACTCTCTTACATGTGCTGCATGGTGGCTTTTTATAGAAGCAACAATAAGAAGGAAACATAAAAAAATTAAATATAAGCTTGAGGTTTCCTTCCCTATAAGGATAAATTTACTTGCAGCTCATTTAATACAGGAAGTGATAAAACAGCCCACTTGCTGAATAGAGTAGAATACATAAAGTAATAAAATATAAAATTAAAATAGATTTTCTCTTATAGCAGGTTTCTTTAAAATATATTAATTCCTATATTTCATCAGATGAACTAGTTTTGAATCTTATAATTATTGTTGCAGGATCTAATATTAGGCTTTAAATGTTTGGTATAAAATATCAAAAGAAAAAGTTCAAGCTATATCATATATGGGCCAGCCACTGGAATAAATAAATCAAACATATGATGGGTAGAAATTAATTAAATATTCATTACTGGCTTTCAAGCTTTTATTTTTTTGGCTTGAATTAAACTATTTACTATTTACTATATACCCCTCAATAACATCACCGTTTTGACTAATTTTAGAAGTTGTATTACCCTATAAGTGTAATCAATCTATGAAACTAACAACTCTTCACACACAAGAATTTTATGTACGGATGGCATAAACCATACATTTTTTAAAGATAACTATATATTTAGGCAATCTTCATTTGAATTTTATTTTTTAATTTTTTTTATTAATATTTTAAAAATTAATTTTATGATTTGAGAGAAATGTTATATTAGAAAATAGATGAAGTACAACAATATAAAACTTAAAAATAAAAATATAAAAATATTAACAACATATTAACTTCACAAAAGTACTTCAATAAAAAAACTTTCTAAATAATATACAATGAATTCACATTTTAATGATCTAGAAGTGATATAATGATATAAATTCAACAAAATTAATAATTTATTAATATTGTATATATATATATAATATACACTATTTCACCCCTTTTTATATTATAATTATTTTTGGTAATTCTAATTTTTTTATATATGTGAGTCATTATGATCAAAGTGTTTTGCGAATTTTGATATATGTTGTTATAAAATTTTCATATTATTTATGATTTATTTGTAGGGTGAAATATATTCATTTATATTTAATTTTATTTATATTACATAAGCCGTCACATAATTTTCAAAAGTAAACAATTTAATTTTATTTTTAACTCTTTTAAAAAAATACTATATCAAAGATTCTGAAAGGTGCATCTTAGCAATTTAAACTTACTTGTTTACTCTTGTTAAACACCATTAATTCCGTTCCTAATCTATATCATTCTCCCTCCCCCATTTCTGCAAAGAACAATGCAAGCACGCAACAATGCACCTTTTTTTTTGTATTTATCTAATAATTTATGCACTATAATAAATGAGTACAATTTCAAAATTTGTATATTTGTGCTGATGAATTTTTTTGTCCTATAATATTTTTTTTACAATTTAGAGGTTATATACAAAACAATTTTGTTTTGTTTAAGAGCTTCATTATTTTTCCGGACTCTAGTTTCTTTTAAATACAAATTCAAGTATTATATCATAATCACAATAACTTAAAAAAAGAAGCATTCATAAAATTATGTTTGTTACTTATTTTTCTTTCATCATAATCTTATACATGAGAATTCATAATAATGTAGCTTTTTTTATTATCATATTGCAGGAAATATTCCTCAAACAATCGGTGGCCTCACAAACTTGAAAATTATATATCTTCGTGCTAACAAGTTGTCTGGCCAGATACCAAGGAGTATTGAAAATTTGACAAAACTTCAAGAGCTAGACCTTAGTAGAAATAACATTGAAGGTACGCTTTCGACTAATCATAATCACATAATGTGTAACTTTTTATCATATTTGAGTTTTTTTTTTTTTTGCATTTATCTAATCATTTATGCACTATAAGAAACGAGTACAATTTAAAAATTTGTATATTTGTGCTGATGAATTGTTTTGTCCTATAATATTTTGTTGACAATTTAGAGGTTATATACAAAACAATTTTTGTTTGGTTTAAGAACTTCATTATTTTTCCGGACTCTAGTTTTATTTAAATACAAATTCAAGAGTTATTATATCATAATCACAATAACTTAAAAAAAGAACATTCATAAAATTATGTTTGTTATTTATTTTTCTTTTATCATAATCTTATACATGAGAATTCATAATAATGTGGTTTTTTTTATTATCATATTGCAGGAAATATTCCTCAAACAATTGGCGACCTATCAAACTTGAAAATTATATCTATAGGTGCTAACAAGTTGTCCGGCTAAATACCAAGGAATATTGTAAACTTGACGAAACTTCAAGAGCTAGACCTCATTAGAAATAACATTGAAGGTATGCTTTCAACTAATCATAATCACATAATGTGTAATTTTCTATCATATCTGAGTTATTTTCTGAGATGGGCTATATCATATAAGTATATATATGTCCCCTGGAAGAAAGGGTCTCCAAGTTGTTCTTTAACAAGTTTATAGAAAATTAAAAGGATGATCCCGAAACATTTCTTTTAAATTTTAAAAGTTAGATTTGTTAAAAATGATTTACCATACATGAACACTTGGAGCATTAGACAAATTTTATTATATATTTATCAAATACATAGAAAATATTCTCAATATTACTGCTGTGTGACTAATTTAAATTGTATATATTTAAGAGTTAATTTTTTTTAAGCCAATATACCAGGCAATTTTTCATCAAATTATGATGTTATAGCTAATATACTTTTTCCTCTTTAGTTGTTTTCTCAGTGTGTGTGTATTTCTCTACCAATTTTCCTTTTGGTTATACATTTGTGTGTTCTAGAACTTTTATTTTTATATATGAATGATTCTTTTTAATTACTATTTGCAAACATTGGTTAGAACTAGAGACTTGTTGAAATACTTTAGTTTTAAAGTCAGGTAAAATGAACCATATATAATATGTGGCACTACAAAAGTTTTACAGTAGGATCAGCAATATAATTCACATTTCTATTAGATTACGTCACCACTCTATGCTAGCTACTAAGATATTTACTGTAATTCCAGTTTTAACTTCCATTAATTTGTCAATTTAAATTCCTGTGTAATTAATTTTGTTTTGATATATTACTACTCCTAGAATTCTAGGTGTGAGGCAACGTTCAAAATGTGTTCATATTTCATATCAAAGACATCAAATGTTAATAAAATTATCATTGACTTTCTTAATTCAATTGCTCTACAACATAACATTTTTCTTACTATACATTGCATGGATCAATCTATTTGGACAAACTAAAATTTGAACAGGCGTATCTTAAAATATATATGTACTCATTAAGTATATTTATTTTAGAAAGATATTAACAAAATGTTCTTTAAATATTTTATACATAGTCTTTTGGATGTTATATTTTCCTGAAAAATTGTTCAACAACCTTCAGTATAGTGATAAAGTAAAATATAAGTGAAATTTAAATGACATATTATATTTTTTCTATCAAAATGTATCCATATATACTATATATTGTATAAAAAGCCAATATGATGTATTTGGCTTGTGAATTGTGTTACGATTCAAGATATTTAATTTATATTGAACTGCATGTTTTTAATTTTGAAATATAATTTTTATTTTTTTCCATTGAATTTACAAAAGGGATTTTAGTTTTTGCAAGTTTAATAGAGGCACATGTAAAATGATTTTGCATGTTCTAGTTAACTCCCTCATTTATAGCACTATCTTCTCATGGAATACATTCCAAAAGTCAGTGGTCTTGTTTTTATTTTTATTTTTTTATATTCTCAATCATCTCATAAAGTTATATTGCATCATTTTAACACGTTTCATGAAACTTTAAAATTACAAAATCTATCTCTTTGTATCAAGAAAGTTTGCTTAGCATTTGTTTAGTATATTATGCTTTATTCATTTTCACTTTTGATGACTTCATTTTTGGGTTTTAATTAATTGTTTGACAACATAAAGATGCATTGGAAATTTGATATACTATTAGTAAGTGATAGTTTGGCACTATCAATCATTTTATTCCTTTTTGTTCTTCTTTTGTCAGTTGGAACATAATCACTTGTATGACAATGTTAATATCTACATCAATATTAAAATATAAAATCTCCATATCAATGGTTTTCCTTAAACTGTAAACAGGAATTAATAAATTGGAAAATAGCAAACTTTAGTCCCTATAAACCAGAATCAACATCTCTGTTTTATGGACTAAAAAAGAGGCAAACATATTCCTCAACACATAGTGCAAGATTTGTTTATATTTGGGGTGTAGGGCAAAGGCGTAGGAAATATAAAAAGACTTCAAAATTTGGCCGTTGATTTTATTTTTTTGGTAATGCATAATAATTAACCACATCGTATATTATGTAACAATTCATTTGCAACGTTATATCACTTTTCCGATTCAGTTTTGACTGTTGTACGGAAATTGGCCAAGTGCTAGTTCCGATTCAACTGATTAAAATGGCTAGTCCAGTTCAATTTTTTAAGACTATGTATTTTCACGTGACCATGTCATCATTAATTGTTTTTGGTATTTGAGTTTATAGTTTTATTATGATGCTAAAATCTATTATGTGTAATTTTTTTTCCTTGCAAAATTTATTTTTAAATTATAGGAGATATTCCCAAAGCAATGGGAGTTTGAATATGCTTCAAATGTTAGACCTCAGTGAGAATAATTTACAAGGGATACCTTCAACAAAATATAATATTTTTATTTTTAAATATTTTTAGATTTTTAAATAAATATATGAGCACCACTAGAAACATTTGTTTTTCTTTTTTGTCCTGTTCATTTGAGTTCTTTAATCATATGACAAGCAATAATCTGAAGGAATTTTGGGTGATCATCCAAATTTAAAAATATGAACCCATTCACATCACAACCCACCATTATCTATTTCTTGCTATCTACCTTCTCATGCTCTTGCAATCAACAAGAAAGGCATTATTTACATTTTATCCTCATCATCAATGATCATTGCACTTTAGAGCCCTCAGTTACACATTTAGATTTGTCGCTTACATGCACATGAATTGTGTTGTGAAATTTACACCACTTTGGTGTCCTTCAAACATAGAATTGTATTGCTCTATTTTTTGGATTTCAAAATAGAGTTAAGCATGCAATACTGTTATTGATTACATGAAGATTTATCCTTCCAAATTTGTGCTCTTTTCATTTAAGTCTCTCAATAGTTTCTTTTTCTTCTATTTATTTTTCAATAATCAATCCATGAAGATTTTCCTTCTGATTTGAACTATCAGATTATGGGCTATCTATATCTTTAATATATAGCTCTATCTCAACTTCTCCTTTACTATTTTTATTATGGTCGGGAATCACAAATATACCCAACTCTTCTAAATAAGGCTCAGCCTCACCATTTGTGTCAAGTTCTCACATATACACATAAATTCACATTCAATCCATATTCACACAAGTGGAACAAGTTACAAAACAACATACACTTACTTGAATGGCATTCAGGCCTACCCATGTACCCTTCACTAGGGCACTATATCATCCTAAAAATTTTAAGACTCGGATTTATTTTAAAAATAAAATAAAAATATCTATAATTAAATTAAAATTTAGAATAATTTAATAGAGGCCCAGAGTTTAAATTTTACTAAGCAAAAGTTTGGTTTTATTTGATTTTTAACTATGGGAAAAATTACCAAAGTTGACCCAGGCTTTTGTGCAATAATAAAAAATGTTGGGCCATTTCTTGTAATTTTCCCCAAACTTTTAGATCAGCTTTTATAAGGGGAAAATAGACGCAGAAACGTAGAGAAAGGAAAGGAAAGGAAACACACGAGAGCGAGAGAGGAAGAAGAGAAGAGAAAGAGAGGGAGTTAGGCTTGGATCTAGGAGCCTTTGTGACCGTTGCGAGCTCGGCTACACGATAGGTAAAATCCCTACTTTAATCCTCTTCCCTTTCTCTTGATTTTCTTCAATTTATGGAAGAGGAAATTTTTAGATTTTGATCCTAAAGGCTTTATTCTTGTAAGCTTTTGTTTCTTTGGATCCTAGGGAGGATGTTTTGAGTTTCTATATAGTGATCTAATGTTTTGAGTGGATAATTGAATGAAAAGAGGTGTTTTGGGGCACAAATTAAATCCTGAGAGATTGGGTTTTGCTCTTCAATGGTTTAAGCTTATTGATTTAGTTATAATTTTGCTATTTGAGCCCAATAAGATTTAAATTAAGGTTTGGTTTTCATTATAAGGGCTAATGGTGAAAGTTGGTGGCACTAAGTAAAGGTTTTTAATTAATAAAAAAATTATATAAATTGAAAATTAGCCTAATAATGGCTAATAAATGGTTTTGGTAGTTAAGCGATACTATGTGAATAGTTAGTTTAATATATAGACTATTGGGATGGACTATTGGGATGGACTATGGCTCATAGACCCAAGTTGTGTGGTATGAATTATAGTCTTCGTTAATGCTATTTGACATGATAAGTGATGTGGATCACTTATATATTGTAGGAATTGTTGGTGGAATTTGTTCAGAAGTTAAGGAACAAGCTGAGCCTATTTTGGTACCAAAGGGTTGAGGTAACAGAGAAAATTTATATTTCTTATTACTCTGTTTCAGCTATTTTTGAATAAATATTGCTAGCTATCATGCATTACATGTTTTAAAAGATTAAATGTGCTTTATAAGGGGTTATGGGGTACTAATTTGATTATAGCAAAATATGTTTTCTAATTGTTTAACAATAATGTTTTTATGGAAACGAGATTTGTTTATATGTATTTTAATCATAAGGAATAAAAGTTGCACTTAAGGAAGTGTAACTAAGTAAGGTATCTTAGATAGGCTAAGGAACTGTTTAAGGGAGATTTATAAATGTTATACTATCTTAGAGTATTGAAGTGGTCAATACTCAAGAAAGGTAGACACAACTAAAAGGCATGACCTCGATGAGAGTTCATCAATAAGAAGGTATGTACTTTTGATATTCTATGGCACACTACCAGTACTCAGTGTTGCCTTACGTATTATGGGCTCAGTGCACTAAAGTGGTTAGTGTATTGAGTGTTCAATACCTCTCAGTAGGGGAGGGAATCTGACATATGAAGTGTAAGGTTGAGTGGCTAAGCCAAGGTAGCCCTCACATAGAGAGTAAGTCGGGCTGGCTCTGGGAGGGAGTTAGCTTTGACTGCTCAAGATTCACGTTAAGGGGCATAGGCGGTTCGGTGGATTAGATCATGCCTTAGATTATGTTTTGTGTCTGTGGAGGTACAAGTAGGT